CTTTCTTTCTTTTTTCTTTTATTTTTTTTGAAAGAAATTAATACATTTATTCAGCAAAGATGCATTAATGATTGATCAAAAATGTCATAAATATAAAGCAGAAAAAAATGCTTTCAACATTGCTAATAATTTATTAATAATATTATTAATATTTGAGCGCCAAATCATAGAGACATCTTTCAAAAACATAAAAAAAAACTTAATGTACATGGATGTGTATGTCAGCCAGACAGATACAGCATATACCAGCTCTCTCTCAGGGCATTTATTTAGTCCCTCCTCAGTTCAAAACATTTCTATTCGAGGATGTCTATTCATCAACGGTTCTACTCAGGTTCAAGTGTGAAGTGCTTTTTGGGAGAGAGGAGAACCCCTCCTCACACGCACACACACACACACACACACACACACACAAACAGCAGCAGGTATATGCGTGCACACCTGCTCTTCCCTTGCTGTGCTTAGACATATTTGCACATCCCTGTTAGCTCAACATTCTGTGCCGGTTCACAGCTGTCATGATCGAGTCACCTTTTCTGCCAAATCAATCTCTCCACAGTCCTTTATTCCCAACACTTCCTCACTTCGGCAGCATTTACACACCCATTTAATGCTCTGTGCATGCGGACACAATAGATCTGGCACTGATGTAGACAGGAAGCGGCACAATTCACTGTCGCAAATGTCTCCCAGCTGATGAATGTGTTAATTGCTTTTCCACAATCCACTGCCATTGCTGGACAAACTTAACAAGAGGCTTCCTCTAGTTCTGTGTAAAATTATAGAGCGACACGTAGGTAAGCGCATTATTGTTGTTGTTATTTTTTTTATTGTCGGATTATAATGAAGTATCAATGAATGACACAGTTTTTGACTGTCATGGTGTGTGCATGAACGAGTGTGAAATACCTGCTAATTATGTTGCTTTTTCCTATCACTTATATTGGGCACTTTTTGCATTTAAACTGGATTATTCTGACTGCTGACATTGAAAATCATGCGTTGTTTCGAGGGTATCGGTTAATTTCATGATTGCCGTTTTGACAGTGTCTGCTTGCATATTTTATTCATGTTCGGTAGCCTAATTCTCTTTAATGTAGGCTATTCGCCCCGATTTGATCCGTTTGCCTGCGAAATTGATCTTATTTATAATTTATATTATTTTGTCATCAATATTTTGTTTTAAGGAGTTAAAATGGCCCTTATCAACCTTGATTTACATATTCTATAACATTATTTTGACAGTTAAAGTTTTGGGCGGGTTTTTGTGAGCTTTTGGGCTGGAAATCGTCCATCCAATCTGGCAACACTGCCTTTGACATTGGCCTAGGAAGCTCTTTTACGAGAGTAGGCAGCAGAAGGGGTGGAGCCTCCTCTGACAGACAGGTGATGAAGCAGAGAGAGAGGGGCCAGCAGAATGGATGGTCCTCAAATGAGGAAGGGTGATGGGCCTTTATGAGCCCTCCCCCACACTATTCATAGCATTATGAGGGCAGTTGTTCTCGTCCCAGCTGGTGGTCAGGCAGTGGATGACGAAGTTCAAGGGGGAGATTGTGACGGTATAACAGTTTGTGTTGAGGGAACCCCTTCCTTTATTTTCACCCTGGGCTATTTTTAATATGAAAAATGAAAGGATATTGACATCTGGTTCAGCTGAGGGGTTTCCTTAAGTTACATTTTCTCAATCTGAAAATGTATACCTATATCATAGCAGGTGCAGAAATAGCAATTTATATTAAACATGTGGCTCATTGATATAAGTCATTACATGTGACTTGAAATCCAGCGAATGCTTTCAAGAACCAGTTCATCAGGAGGCAGCCATGTTTTTCAATAATAATAATTGATTGCATAAATCACACAACAGAATTAAATGAATGAGGAGTAGCCACCTGATCAGACACAAGGTCAGGATCTGAGACCCTGCTAAAAGAATAACTGATCAATACATGAGATGGATTGGACACTGATGCTGTCAGTTGATCCTGGTTGTAAAGACACAGCTGGTTAGTTGTTAGAGTGGAAAACAGACCCCCAAAGGCTGAGGCTGTTATTTAATTGTACTCTGATTGCTTCCTGTTTGCAGGCAAGGGAAATGACATGTTATGAAATCATGAATCCATCTGAATCAGTCACAGATCGACATGTGCATGAGTGTTTTAAGTGTGCTTGTATTTATAGCTGACTTTCACTGGGCGTTTACATGTACTTAAGAAGTTCAATTTAAGTCGGACTAAAACATTTATTGTTTTTTCACAATGCTATATAAAAGCTTTTGTCTGACAGAAATAGAACCAGTTTTGATTAGTCTTCTTAAACAGTCTTTAATGATCAAAACACATTCTAATGTGAAAAGTTTTTAAAAGTGTAAATTGCATGTTTATACCATAGTTGATCATGTTTATAATAACATGGTACAAAGTTAATCACATAATTTTTGGAAATCAGGGCTAATATTAAATATCAACTGATTAAATTTGCTATAGTATAGTAATACACAACTGGTCAAAATTAAGATTTAAAAAATTGTTTTTTTTTTAAATACAAGACGTCTCTTATGCTCACCTACTTTATTAGAAAAATAAAAACAGTAATATTGTGAAATATTATTAAATGTAAAATAACTGTTTTCTATTTGAATATATTTCAGAATGTAATTTATAATTGATGTCATTACTCCAGTCCTCAGTGTTGAATGTTGAAAAGAGTTGTGCCGCTTAATATTTTTTTACCATTCTAAAGTTTGTGAAAGTTTTTTTCTTTTTTCTTTCTTTCTTTCTTTTTTCTTTTATTTTTTTTGAAAGAAATTAATACATTTATTCAGCAAAGATGCATTAATGATTGATCAAAAATGTCATAAATATAAAGCAGAAAAAAATGCTTTCAACATTGCTAATAATTTATTAATAATATTATTAATATTTGAGCGCCAAATCATAGAGACATCTTTCAAAAACATAAAAAAAAACTTAATGTACATGGATGTGTATGTCAGCCAGACAGATACAGCATATACCAGCTCTCTCTCAGGGCATTTATTTAGTCCCTCCTCAGTTCAAAACATTTCTATTCGAGGATGTCTATTCATCAACGGTTCTACTCAGGTTCAAGTGTGAAGTGCTTTTTGGGAGAGAGGAGAACCCCTCCTCACACGCACACACACACACACACACACACACACACAAACACACACACTCCAGATTGAGTCTGGAGGTCTGAAGTGACCTCTGTCCTATTGTGCCCTGCTATAGTTTCATTATACACACACCCCTCCAGCCCCTCCCACTTTTCACTTTGACCCTAAAGCCTGAGCAGAACCCACTGAAGTGTTTTTAAAGACTGTATTTTTCATTCCAGACCTACGTGCACAGATATGATAAATTTTGTGTTTAGTGGTACTTGATATCTTGTAATGGTATTCTAACCTCAAGTTATACGCATACGTTTTTTTTTTGTTTTTTTTTTAATTTGACAGCTCATTTTGATTACAAATTGATTCTGAAGTAGCTTTTTTTTTTTTTAAATCTTAATTTTTAATTCTGTTTAGAGATATTATTCAGGACACTGATGAGAAACAGAACAATCAGCTGTGAAACCCAATTAAACAGCTTCTCTGTTGCTCATATTGATCTGGCAAATCTATATTTTTGTCCAACCGTTTTAAAAATTTTAACCTCATTTGAAGGGGAAGCTGCGCTGTTTTAAAGATCTGTGCCAGCATTGATTAATAGCTGTCTATTGAAAGAGGGTTCCCTTTGACCTATGACCTTCCACACCTCCGCAGACCACTTCAGACCCTCTTCCCCGGGAAAAGGGGCTCTTGTGGGGGTGTTTGGTTGTGGTTGGTGTCAGTAGATCAATGAGACGCATATCCTGGGGTCTGGAGAGTTCTACATATATGCATGGCCATTGTGTGGACACTGAAGGGGTGTCAAGTGGAATGGTGAACCTGCATCTGCGCTGCTGAGACAGAGGAGGGGCTGCAGGGGTCATTTAGGAAAATACAGAGCAGTTATAAAAAGAGTTTAAGTTCAAGATCTGATGTTAGTGTTAGTGTAAATTAGAGTGTTTCAAAGAGCCATGAACTGGAAAAATGTAAATCATATTATTTCATTAAATATTAATATTAACATGTCTTGCTGTTAAACAAATGTATGTCTGGTTCTCATTTGACAGAAAAATTAGCTTTGCCTCTGTCATACTGTCTGTACTCCATACAATTTTCACATTTATTACTGAAATGAAAATTTGGTAACACTTTAGCTTAGGGAACACATATTGACTATTAACTAAGAGATTTCCCTCAGTAAACTCCTAATTACTGCTTATTGATAGTAAGTAAAGTAGTTGTTGTAGTAGTTATGTTTAGGTATGGGAATCTAAAATATGGTCATGCAGAGTAAGGCATTAATATGTGCTTTATGAGAACTAATGAACAGCTAATATGCTAGCAATATACATGCTAAAAAGCAACTAGTTAACATAGTAATATGTGTTCCATAATCTGAAATGTTATCCAAATTTTTATTTTGGGAGATCAAAACAGGAGACAAATTTAATTATTAATATTATTCAACTGATTTTGATATAATTACATTATTAAAATTGTTAAATAACTAAATAATGTATTCTTGTTATTTGTGTCTCACCCATGTAGTGTTATTTTAGTATCATCGAGGGACTAATAGTTTAGTCTCTTATAGTTTAAATTAGTTTTAATTTTTATATTTTTCATTTTTATTTTTGTTTTAAGTTTTAGTATTTTTGTTGTGTGCTTTTGTCATTTTTGTTAGTTTTTTATATGTATATATAGTTTTTATTAATTTTTATTTCAGTTCTAGTTCTAGTTATTTTAGTAAATATATTTTTAAAAATATATTTTTTAATTGATTAACAAAACTGTTATGTTAGTCAAAGAAAAATAGTTTGCTTATGATTTAGCTTTAAATTTAGTTAACTATAATAACCATGGTCTCACCCTGTTCCTTCTCTTTCCCCAGCTCCTCCAGAGTTCATTCAGTGGCCGCAGTCTGTGTCTAAACCAGCAGGAGGCAGTGCTGTGTTCACATGTGTGGCTCAGGGTGTTCCTGAGCCTCATATCATTTGGCTGAAGAATGGAAAGATACTCACGCCTGGCGATAATGTGAAGCTCACTAACAATAATAGGTACACACTTAAATTATATGAGACTCACAAGTATCAACAGGAATACACAAACTTACAGCTGAATTACACAGTCCATAAAACCTTAAGCAATACTTAATTATCAAGTAGAAATACAAAATAATTTGCTTACATAACTATTTATATTTTTATAGATTTTTGTATTTGTAATTTTTTTTTTTATTATTTGT